CTCAAAGCCCCATGGCAGGGTTGGTGGGGACAGTCATTCACCCAGCAAGTGCTTAATTCTCAGTATCCACTTCCTGTGAAGAGCTGGGAGGCCAGGCTGAAGTTCCCTGCATGGTAACTTGCTGTTCAGACAGGGAGATGAGACACACCCTCAAGGACACAAAGTCTATATGGCTGATTTCTCTAGGACTCGGTTTCCCCTTCTATAAAGTGAACGGTTTGCCAGTTCTTCTCCAGGACACCTTCCTGTCATGAAGTCCCATGTCTCTAAAGTGTAGGACCTCTCAGGTGGCCATCAGTTTGGACTGGGTGTTCTCTGCAGGTTGGCTTAGGCTGTCAGTTCCAAGGAGGGTGACAGCTCCACGGTGCTTCCAACCTCGAGAGGACCACACCCTGAGCTTTACCTGCATAATGAGGCAAGAGGGGAAGATAGGAGGAAAAAGAGACCCTCTGATGGGACTCAAACACACTCGACCTCTCTCTTGTGTTATGTGGCATTCTTAGCTAGGCAGTCTCCTACGGGAGCAGCGTCTCCTAGGCAGGCTGATTTCTGAAGAGTTTGGACTGGCAGCCCCTGCCCCCACTTTATAGATGATAAAACTAAAGACCAGACAAGACCTCATGAGAAGGTCCTGGGACAAACTGGGCTTCATTTGGGGACCAGTGCTGGACCCTAGTCACAGAGAGGCAGTGACATGTAGTGGATAAGTCAGGGCTCTGGAGAGGCAGAGCTCAGCTCCACCCGATTCATCTGACCTCAGGAAGTAACATGTCTCTGTGCCTCGGTTTCTTCCTTTTACTGGGAGGAATCCCTGAAGTAGATGGTGGCCAGCACCCCACGCAGTGCCTGGCATGCAACAGATATCAGCCACTATTCAACATCTGGTAGCATTGTGATTGCACTTAAATATAAACCAAAGCAAACACACTGCAAACAAAACCAATAAACTCTGAGAACATAGCTCAGTGCCCGGCAAATAGAAGCTCAATGACTGGCTGCTGGCTAGACAGACAAATGAGTCACAATCCTTACTTCTTGGTCCTGTATCACCCATTCAGTAGCCATTTGACTTCTTGCAAGAGATCTCCACTCTCTGGGCCTCGGCTTCCTGCTCTGTGAGATGCGGATAATGCTTGTACTTCAGAGTGTTGCTCTGAGGTCTAACCATGCTGATGAGCACGACCCTCAGTTAAAACGTGATAAACGGCACGCAGGACAAGGTAACGCAAATCACGTCTGCCCAAAGCACGTATTCAGTAAATATTTAGTGAGTGAGTGAACGCACATCTGCATTCAAGGTCTTGCTCAATCCCAGCCTCCACAAATTCTTGGGGTTTCCCCAAGCAGAAAGTCTCAGCTGCTTGGAGCCCCATGAAGTATGTGGTATTCCCAGGCGTCAGGAGGAGTAAAGTCCAGCTCACTGGCCTCTACAATTGCTGCCTATCACTGGCTCCCCAACCCTACTGCATACCGTCACTAGCTATCCCCAGCCCCGCCCCCGAATGGTTTCACGTCAGAGTTTCCGAAGAAAAACTGTGATTAGAAGGAATGCTGTTTTAAGGACCGGCCGAGTGGCTCAGGTGGTTAAGAGCTCGCTCAAGGGTTTGAGCTCTGAGCAACAGCGGTTCGAGTCCTGGCCTGAGCTGAGCAGCCGCTGAGCTGCCAACAGGTAGCAGGATGGCTCAGCTAAAAAAAAAAAAAAAAGAAGGAATGCTGTTTTTACACACATACCACCTCAACGAAGGCAGACCCAGGCCTTCTGAACTGATGTCCCAAGCCCTCCTGCGCCCCGGATCTTTCCTTGAGTACTTGGTTTATGTACTACGCCGTGTTCAAATTCTCTTTCTCTGTGTAGGGTAAAGGGGACAGGTGAATGGAAGGCTCTGAAGTCAGTAGGTCCTAATCCAAATTCCAACTCCACATCTGACTGGATGGCTTTGAGTGGCAAGTCGCTTGGCCTCTCTGAGTCTCTGGTACCTCATTTGTAAAATTCCCATGATAGCCATCCACCGCACAAGGCTGCTGTGAGAATTCAATGGAATAACAGAAGGAGAATGTCTCGCACAGTGCCTGGGACACAGGAGATCTTTAGCATATGTAAGATTCCCCCCCACCCCTGCTCCTATTGGAGAGAAGACCTGAACTCTAGCCCCACTCTGCTCCTTACTCGCTGTAGAACCCAAACAAGTCACAGCCCCTGCGAGCACCATTATTCCCCTCCAAAATGTAGATGACCTTAGTTGATCAAACAAATA